CCCACAATGAGATATATGCATACTTGACAGGAGACAAGTTGAAGAAAGAAGAACATTTTAAGTAGTCACACAGCAATATGGTAGACAAACTCTCCAATAGATATATACTTAAAAGGTTTGCCTCTCAAAACAGAGATCTACTCATGAGATGACCTCCAAAAATATTACTAACTGGTGTTGAAAAACTTAAAACAATAAATAGACTAGCAGCACCTTAAAGACAAACAAAACATGTAGATGGTATCATGAGCTTCTGTAGGCACAACCCACTTCTTCAGATGCGCCCATGAAAGCTCATGATACCATCTACATGTTTTGTTAGTCTGTAACAGGAAAAACGTACAAAACAACAAATAGACTAGTAGCACCTTAAAGACTAACTCAGCTACCCCTCTGAAGCTTTTGCTGTTGAAAAGTTAACTTTACTATTGTAATGGCTTTCAAGACACTGTGAATCTGGACAATAAATCATAAAATGATTTTGAAGGACTTATGTTTTCATTCAGCAAACACGATCTAGCTATGTGTGTGATATACAGACTATGACTATATACACATACAACACACACTATTAAACAGATCCCTTTTTTAAAGACAAAGATTTCTTTAGAAGAGTATCCAAGCTGACACTCTTCAACCTATTCTCTTCTCAAACAATGCATGGAATGCCAATTAATGTCAATGAAAGTTACAGCCATAGAACATATGGAAAGCATGCCTCAAATCTTAAAACCAGTGATATCTCTTACTATTTCATCCTGTACTGTTGCCAGTCAGGGTCTGAGACTCCCACTGATGTCAATAAGACTAGAACATGCACATCAAGAATTGTATAAGGACCTAACAATATACTTAAAATCTTTCCTAGTTTTCCAATCTTGATAACTTTCAGCTTGGCTCCATGGGTACCAGTTTGTTTGGGCTTCATACGTGCAATTAAAAATGACAGCTTTTTCAACCTAGAACTCCGATTTTGACAAGACACTCAAGTGAGAAACTAGTAAAATTTGTTATGGCTTTGAAGATAAAAGTAAATTGAATTAAGTAAATGCTATATTTAAAAATTTCCGCTCTAGCACAGAGCTGCTTTTCATTTAAAAAAAATTCAAATAATGGTGGTCTACAGAAATAGTTTGTAAAAATAAACAAGATGAATAAATCCACAAATGATAAAGGATAATCCACTCAGTGACAGGAAGCGTTTCCCTTTTTTCTCCAGCCTGAAGTTAACTCCTTTGTAAGGCAGCAACAAAGATATATTCTACTTCCCTAAAAGGCTTTTAATATATAGCCTTAGTGGTTTCAATTAGCATTAAAAATAGAAGATAACTCAAGCCATCATCCTTTTTAAGAATGCCACAATATTGCTTTTTTTCTTTCATTCAGTGTCAGGGAACTGGATGGCTGCAATTTAACCCCTGCCTACACAATGATTAAAAAATGTAGAGCACAGCAGCCCCTGCTGGGCAGGTGTCAATGCTTTAATGAGATCAGAGTTCTGATCCTAGAACAGAAGATGGTTTACACACCACGGCTACGTCTACACTGGCCCCTTTTCCGGAAGGGGCATGTAAATTTCACTAGTCGTCGTAGGGAAATCCGCGGGGGATTTAAATATCCCCCGCGGCATTTAAATAAAAATGTCCGCCGCTTTTTTCCGGCTTTTAAAAAAGCCGGAAAAGAGCGTCTAGACTGGCCCCGATCCTCCGGAAAAAGTGCCCTTTTCCGGAGGCTCTTATTCTTACTTTGATCGGGGCCAGTCTAGACGCTCTTTTCCGGCTTTTTTAAAAGCCGGAAAAAAGCGGCGGACATTTTTATTTAAATGCCGCGGGGGATATTTAAATCCCCCGCGGATTTCCCTACGACGACTAGTGAAATTTACATGCCCCTTCCGGAAAAGGGGCCAGTGTAGACGTAGCCCAAAAGTGCATATTTCATAGGCAGTGCCTTACTCTTGTTTGCCCTACAACAATTTCATACTATGACATCCTTCTCAGAGGACTGATACATTTGGCAATAGTTGGACACTAAATTAGTTTTCTCCTCATGAATAGTGGGGAGGGAGGAGGGACAGGAAATCAGCTGAAATCAGCTTGTTCCAATCAGGAGACACTCTAAATTACAGTTCTGTAACAGAACAGCTCTTGAATTTTTGATGCATGCTCCTGTCAAACAGTTCTAGATTCAGTTTACACAGATATTTCTCTCAACTGGTTTATGAAACTCATGTACATTCAATCTTATATTTTAGGAGAACATACTAAACTTTATTCTGCTAATTTTACTTGTTCCTTGTTGCTTAAAAAAACCCTACATAAATCCCCTGATGCAGTGTCAGCTTCCTTGGATGACAGAAATGAAGCAGGACATTTTAGTGGTCCTGTTCTTGAGAACAGACTGCAACTGGTTTTTGCCCTAATTTATATGTATTGTACTCTATTATGAACAATTTTTCACCAGGACAATCCAAAATTCCACAGAACAACTGTTTGAAAGGTCTCAACTCTCATCAAAACCTAAGAGAAGATGGACAAAAATTCACAAAATCAGGCCCAAAATGCTACACAGATCATCATCATGGTTCTTTTTAGAGATTCTTCAGAGAAGATGATTAAAAGTGCACAAACATTCCTTATATAAACTCAATTGGATCTTTCCCTGAAGCCACAGTCTCATCTGTTTGATCTATTCCTACCACAAGCTACAAGAACATATGATTTTTCAATAAAATTACTGCTAAAATATGATTTTTCACTAAAAGATTAACAGATAACCAAACTTTCAACTAGGCACAAGCTCAAATAAATAATATTGACTGATTCAAGTATAACAGTCCAGTGTTGTTTGGATATGTACAATTGTCACATAGAAGTCCATGAAATTGATTACAAACTTGAGTCACTTCTACATCTGGAAGTAAACTAGGATGCTAGTCTTCAGGCCACTTAACAGTTTAGGCAGATGGACTAGTTGATCTTTTGAGGTTCCTGGTAGCCCTGCATTTCTATGATATTTTGGTGTATCAGTGGATCAAAGATAGATCTTAGAACTGGTCTTGCAACCTTGATTTCAAAACTTTTATCAGAATGACTATACATACAGCATATGTGTTTCTGCTACAGGAGTAGAACTATCTCCTTCCATATTACATAAAAGTCATATTTTAAAGAACTTTAGTGTAACTATGACAGCCCTCTTCCTGCAGGAGGTCAATAGCATTAAAGCAATTAACAGGCAACAGAGCAAGAGGCCACCATTATTTTGAAACACTCTGCACCAAACTAAGTAAGGATGCACAGTCAATGCCCTCTATGGAACAGTGCATTCAAGTGCATTTCAAATTTAACTAATTTTAGAGGACAGTAAAAAGTATGGATAATTTAGCTAAATTCAAGAGTCTTTCAATTAACAAAGAAAAACAATTATTTTGTATTACAGGGATAAATAAACCTCACAGTTAATAGTTTTGCAAATATCTCAAAATATCACTGAGTTTCATAAAACTTGTTAGAATTTGCAAGGTTTTTCCTGAAATTTAAAGCCATGCTTTCTTTTTGCATGCAGTTTATATCTGAGGCTCTCTTTCCTAGATAACCGGCAAGCTCTGGGTAGAACACACAAAGGTCAAAAGTTGGATTCACAAAAGTGAGTAGATCTGAAGAATAATTACAGGCAGAATTTGTATACACTATTTGTTGATATACATACACTATTGTAAATAAGAAATTCTCTTTCCCACTGCTCCTCATCACATTTTCTCCAACACAAAACTCAACTAAGTCAAACATCCAAACCAATGAGGGCTGAGAGAGTTTAATAGTGAGCAAAATTAATTTGTCCATCAATAATAAGTATCAGTTATAAAGTATCTTGCGCTCTTTACCTTGCCTCTAACTATTTCCAAATTATTTCTCACTCCACTAAAGAATTTGGTATAAGTCACTTTTAACTTTTACCATTGTGGAAGGTCTCTGTATTTCAAGACCCCTATGCAGAAGAGAAAGGTTTTAAGACCCCAGCATAGTCTTAGCCATTCAAGATTTCTCATGTCTCAAGCAACAGAAAAAAAAGTCCAGATGTTAAGTAAAAACTACAGCATTTATGATTAAATGAGACTCAAAAACACAGAAGTGTTTTGCAGGATGTTTGGTGATGCTGCCCTGACTGTGCTTTCTGACACACATTCCTGCACTGAGAAGCACAGTCTCCTCATCTCTTGGGTTACTTTTCCACTGACCCAGTTTAAGGGATTGATCTGAAACATTGAAATCAGCGGAAGCAGACTCTAAAAGAGTAGATAGAATCACTGGCTTCTGAAACCCATCATTCCCTTGAGTTTCAAAGGACAGCATCAAGAAAAAAACCTTCATGTCCCCTCTTGTCCAAACTTCACATGAAGGAATTGGGGGGCAAAGTGGGACATACACACTTCCCTGAAGCAGAATATGCACAGAGATGAGCTGGGAAGTGGCAAGCTAAAAACTCCTTTAAAAGAATATCACCAGTGCACAAACAGTGTGAGCAGATAAGTCAACAACACCTTTTGAAAGTAGTAAAAGGGCTTTTTTTTTGGCTCTGCTCTCCTGAACTCCTTGTCAAGGGAGTCAGCTTGTGCAGCAGTAACTCACTGCCACAGACAGTAGCCTCTCTTGGTAGGTTTTGGGAGCTGGAGGCATTCCAGTGGTTTCCTGTTTGTTCCTGTTTGCAGTGGGGTTTGTACTAATCGTCCTGCTCACAAACTAGCGGGCAGGTGCTTGCACTTCTAGCAGGCTCTTCTGCCAGAGCAGAGCCTGTTCTAGGAGTCTACGCTCCCCACAAGGAAGGCAGCCCCCCCCCGGACAGCCCCTGGACTTGATGACCTCCTGAGGTCTCTTCCAGCCCTATGATTCTACAAGCAGCATCTGGGCAGAGGAGAGCCTCGCACAGCTGATCCTGGGAGAAAGGGGCTTTGGCTTTTAGCGGCTGGGGGGGGAGGGGGGTCGCGCGAGGCACTGACATACCCTGGTGCTGGCAAGCCTGCAAACAGCCCGGTGCTGGCAGCCGTGCAGGAGTCCCGTGCCGCTGCCCCCGCTGCTGCTGCCGCTGCCGCCGAAGTATTTCTGTTTCACCATCCAGTCCTCGAGCCCTTTCCGAGCCAGCGAGGCGTTCACGGCAAAACTATCACCTACGGGAGCACAAGAGACAATGCCACACACTGGAGCAGCGCGCACGAGTCCTCCGCCTGCCCCAGCCTGGACCACGCGACGCCGGGGGGGGGGCACGAGACCCGCACCTGGGGTAGAAACCGGAGCCGCCCACCGAGCCCTCCGCAGAAAGTTTGAGGGGGAGAGCGGGGTAGGGGCTGTGAAAGTTGCTAGCAGCACAGAGCCATCCCTACCTTCTGGACTTTCTCTGGGTTTACAAACGGCAGCTAGGCAGGTCCATGGGAAAGTGGAACGGGGGGGAAAGAATAAAGGAAGATCATTAGACCCCGGTATAAACATCACAGCAAACACACATGAAATCCAAACAAGAGGGAGAGGGGCTGCGGGAGTAGCAAGTGAAAAGAACTAACCATGTTTCGAGTGAAGTTTCCCCATTTCTCTGCATTGATCTGCAATTACGATTCATTTGACTGTTTCCAGTGGGGGGGGGGCGTTAATAAAATCCCAGCGCTCTTTAGAAATCCATGTGCTCCACTTTCCCCCCTCCTGTGCTAAAGCAAAATCAAAATCAAATCTCGGTTCCCCTTCTGCAGCACGGTCCTGCGTTTCTCTCTCTGCTGAAGTCTTTCTCCTCTCTTCTCTTTTCCCAAAGACAGAGGCGGTTACAAAAGACCTTACTTCACCCACCAGGGAACATGATTGACACCTCATTGAGATTAGACCACTTGCAGGCAGCCTCTGGATTCCTATTGGACTGAGGCGGCACATGAAAGGGAATAAAGATCCTTTTGGAGTCTAAAAAAAAAAAAAAAAAAAAGGAGCAGCAGCTCTAGTGCATTTCACTTCCAGCCAGACACAGGCAGCAGAGCACAGAGCCATGGAGAAAGCCCATGAAAGGCAAAGGAGGCCTCTTTCTAATAACTGAAATGTATTTGCTAAATCTGAGGGACTAGTTCATACAGTTGTAGTGAGGAAAGTTTGGGAAGGAGTTATATGTTCTAAACATACTTGGATCCCCAGCATGTCTCACATTTAGCTGCAGCTTTCCACATTTTTCTTCCCCTCAGGGCTGACTGTGGGAAATATCCAATCTCTACCAGCCCCTGGGGTTGCACATTTGAATAGAGGGCATCTGTTGAAAGTGTTTAAGTTTAGGTTTTCCTCCTTTGTCCCCAGTTCTCCATGCCATCTAAAGTCATTTCATTGCACACACTGGGCAGGGTGGGTGATAAAAGTGGCTTGATGCCAGTTTTGCATACCTGGATTATGGGACAGGCTGGGAACTAGAGCAGTCCTTGGTCCAAACTACCACAGTCCCAGGCAGTGCTCTAATTTAGGTTCTGAAGAAACTGCCCTAAAAGGCTGAGCAGCAGCCCAGAAGAGGCTGGAGTGCAATGTACTCCAGCAACTCACCCTACGCTTTCCTTGTATGCCTGTGGCTTCAAAGGTGATTGTGGCATGGGACTGGCCCTTCAACACTGGGGAAGTGCCCATACTTTGGAAGTATTCCCTTGAGGAAATCATAGTATTCTGCCATCTTTGCAGCAACAGCTGAGTCAGCTCAAAGCAGCTATAAGGAACTGGAGAATCAGCTCCCACCAGTCTTAATAGCCATCACACCTCACAAAATTAGCCCACAGGGACCCAAATAAGTTTAGCAAACATTTTCATTACCTACTACTGTGTGCTCTCAGAAGCTAACGTCTCATTGACCACTGAAAGTTTTGCCTGCACCAGGACCATAGGTCTGGAATCTTTCGCTATATTTTCAGTGTTTAAAAGAAATCTTCATATGAATGCTCTCATACCCTAGTGTAACATAGTGTCTTCTCATCACAGATGCAGAATATACTCATACCTGGAAATATTAAACAAATTATTCACACCATCTGCAAGAGTGGTGGACAGAAGCCTCAATTGACCTTTAAAATACATAAATAACGTGTCAAAATCTTTCTCTTCCTTTTCCAGCATTTGGGACAGTACTATTGCTTCACATTAAAAAAAAACAACTTGCAGTTTTGTAAAAAGAAATTTTAGAGTCATTAAAAACTTTTTTCCTTCCTTCTGCTGGTCATTTTTTTTATTTTATGAAAATCACATCTCCCTTGAGATTCTTGTAGTTCAGCTAAGAGAGATAAAAGAAAACAAGGAGAGCAGTGTGATTACTAGTTCAAGTTTTGAGAAAGAAAAAAATGGAGATTTCCAAGAATTTTATTTTACAAACCACTATTCAAACTATACAGGGATTGGTCCAGATGGGCCCCATCCAAAAATTCCAATCTACATCTGTGTTTTCAAACAGTGATTTCAGAGGAGACGTGCTTGGAGCTCATCTCAGTTAGAGATTCCAGAACATATGTGGTGAAACTCTGATGAGAAATGACTCTACAAATCACAATCACAATCACTACTGAGACATTAATTAAAACATTTAATAGCTGGTTGTTCCCTGGATAATGGAGAAAGAGAGGGAGATTTGCTTTCCAGATTATTTCAACTATTTATCCGTCTAGCAAAGGAAATGCATGAATTGCAGTGTTCAGTGATTGCAACAGCATCAATTGCTTGTCAAATAGCCAATAATTTGCATCTCTTTTTGAATCTTCCTTTTTATATATTTTAATAATTTATTTGGCCCATATCTTCTGGTATGTATTTGTTCCTTTGAAGACTGCTTCTTGTTTTGGGAGGAGAAGGGGGAGGAAGAGATTTAGATCAATCAGACTCCTTGGGGCTTGAGACTCACCTGTGAAAATTCTGACAGATATTAAGCAATTTGAAATTATAATACCAGTTCTATTTTCCTCCCAGCTTGGCCTTTTTTATTAAGCTAAATCAAACTCTGACTTACTTAGGGTTACGGTGTCTACCTACATAATACATTTCAAAGAAATAAAAGGTCAATTTTGAGAGGAAAAAAATGCCCTGCAATACAACATTCAACTCTTGAAACAAAAATGAGGTCCCAATTTAGCCATTTGCATGACACAGCTGGTCCATGAGCCCTTGCAGAGTCCCTATGAGTTCACAAATGGTGTCAGCGTCTATCTGTGTAGACATCATGACAGCTTCAGGGAATTATATACCTATAACAACATATGGTCTTTGCATAATTATTTCTGATAGATGGGACAAAATACATCCTGCATTAATTTGATATGGGATATTAGTTCCTTCAAGCTACTGAGCTACATTTTCACAGAACTCAGCACTCCTCAGGAGGGTCTCAGCAACTTGTGGGATCAGTCCCCAAATTATTTTATCCCTTAAAATAAAGGATAGATGGCCACCATTGTCAGGGTGGAGGGCTAAATTATGCCTGCTGTTTTCCAATTGAACTGCATGTATGTCTTTAGATACCTTTGTACCATTCCTTTAAACCAAGGTAACAGCGTCAGAGAAGGGACACCTTCCTCTCACATGCTCTCTATTACACATACATACCTGGGACCTGGGTTGTTTCTACCTCTATTGTTCTTTTGAGGACTCTCTATTCCATTTAGAAATATAGAAATAAGAAAATAAACATATCATCCTTTCATTGTTTCCCCTAAGCATTCATAAAGCATTTGATTTCCATTACAAACTAGTGGATTTTAGAGAGCCAGGGCTTCTGTGTCACATGCCACTCCCTTCAGCCATGGAGTTTGCACTAGAAAAAATTGTGTCGCAGAATCAGATATTTCTAACCTGCATGGTTGTGAAGAAAAGTTTGAAAAAGACGAACGGTGTACAAATTAATGCAGTGAAAGTAGTGTGAGATGCCCCGTTCATACACTGTTAACTCTGAAAACTAAAGATGTCAATTTGGGGCATCCTGAAAACTGAGAATTTGGAGACAGAATAAACTGAATTTTATGAAAAATAAATAAATTGGGGACTACTACACTGATTGCATTATTCATTTACATATCTAATTAATAATAAAAAAATCTAAATTTATCTGAATCAGCTGCAGAATGGCTATCATTGCCACAGAGGCCATGGGATTCTGATTATAACTTTGCTGAAACTCCAAATGCATCTACACTCTGATATGGAAGCACTACAATAATCTTTAGTTTCAGATCCATTCAGATGCCTCTATTTTACTTACACTTTGAAACTTTTACCACCAGGATTAGGCTCAATGCTTCATGTACTTTATTCAAGCTATGTGAACCTCTTACTGTACCATCCTCATTCATGTGGACAGACTCTGCTAGCTTTACTTACTCAAAGAAGTGCTTCCTTCACAAGTCAGTTACTGTATCAGAATGTGCCCCTTGGCTTGAACTTCCCTGGTGCAGCACCCTCTGACTGGTCCCAAAGAAGGGAGTTTGGTCCAGCCTCTGGGTTCTTCTTGGGGAGGGAGAGGTGCCAGCCTTCTGGATGGGATCTCCTCCTGGCCACTGACCAGCTGCTGGCCCCAGCTGTGGCCCCAGGCTGCTGGCTTGGCTCTGCTCCTGGTCCTGTCTGGGCTCCCTGTCCCCTGGCTGCTGTGCTGGCTCTGCTCCCATCCTAGCCAGGCTCCAGCTGCTGGCTCCCCTGCCATAGGCCCCCCAGTCCAACTTATGCCGGCTTTCCAGCTGCCAGACTTCCTCTGCTCCCAACCCTGGCCAAGCTCGCAGCTGCCAGACTCCCAGCTGGTCCCGGTGTTCTCTGATTCAGGGGCTCTTTGGTCCAGCAACATGTGTGGCCCTGTCACTTTGCTGGACCAGAGAGTCCCAGACCAGAGAGGTTCATCCTGTATTTATTTTCTGCCAGTTTGTGTTTTATGCTTCATCTGAATTAAGGATGTTAGCCAGTAGTCAACTACCCGATAAACATATCGGGTAGTCGAGTGGAATATTGACTACTCCCTCCCCACCTTTGTTGCCTCTATGAGAAGCAGCAAAGGGGGTGGGGAGGAGGGGTGCTGGTGATGGGGGGGAGCTGGCTTAAAACAGTTCCCTCAAACACCATTTTCTTAGTGCCGCCTGCTGCGCCACCCCCGCTGCCTCTATCAGAGGCAGTGGGGGGAATAAGAGAGGGTGCTTTGAAGCAGCCTCTGTCCGCAGCGGTTTGAGGCTTGCCGTGGGCAGAGGCTGCTCCAACAGCAGTCCCTGTCCACTGGGGTCCTAGTAGGGAGCTGGGCCCCCCTGCAGATAGGGGCTGCCGCCGCCAAGCAGCCCCTGTTTGCGGTGGTCCAGGCTGGACGTGTGCAGGGGCTGCTCCAACAGCATCCCCTGTCTCCGGACACCCCTGGCTGCTGCAAAGAGAGGCTGTTCTGGCAGCAGCCCCCGTTTGTGGTGGACAGGACTGGCCACTGTGAACAGGGGCTGCTGGACTCAGCACGAGCCGGCACAGAGTTATAAAGAGGGTCAATCTTTTGAATGAGATAAAAAGGAGTCCTGATTTATTATGACAGGTAATGATTTTTCAACAACAGTTTGTTATATAGGAATATATTTTATTGAAAATAAGGTGTTTCTCTTTAAAATCTATATATATGATATGGTCCATATATTAGGCTGTAAATAGAAACTATTTCTAACTCTGTGTGTGTGTGTATGTGTGTAGAGTACTATCCTAATAGGACCTCTAGGAACTGAATAATACAATTAAGTAATAACAATTATATTAGATGGAATAATTAATAATGATTATTCTTTAACTAGGGAAGGAAAGTATTAATTAATCTTTATGGGCTACTTCTTGAGGTTCTTATTCAGTTTTGGCTCAGGCAAATTCCAATTGACTTCAGTGTCATTTGGCTTGAATATGTATA